AGAGAGAGAGAGAGAGAGAGAGCGAGAGAAGAAAAGGAGCCGAAGAAACGGATGACCGAAGTCGAGACGAGCAAAGAGTTACAAGAGAATGACGAGGGGTGGTCCTCGACCGACCCCCCCTACGATATTCCTCCCATTCAGCTTTTTTTCAGAATTTCCTTCTTCTCGTTTCGAATTTAGAGTGGACTTCTGCTCGTACGACGTCTCGTTGCACGGCGCGCGCGGGAGAAGGAAGAATGGAAAGGAAAATGGCGATCGCGCGCCCCCCTCTCGCGGCTCCCCTGTTCCGACGGTCGAACAGTTCCGGATCCGCGTCGTGGAAACGCAGGGAAATAACGAAGAATATATGATATAATTTCTCCAATTGGGATAAATTTCGAAAAATTTCTTACGTTTTCAAAAAATTTTTTTGTAACGTGTAATGCTGCGTTCCTACGACGATCGACCACGAACTCTTTCTTTTCCCCGCCCTCGCTCGAGGGACGCGGGGGGTGAACTTTCAGGGGCTGGACTCGGTCGGCCGCGCGGAGGGACGAGGGTCGCTCCGATGGCTGGCGACCGATTTCAACCCCCCCCCCCCCTGGCGTGGAAACACGAGCACGGAGAACGTAGACGACGGCTTGCGACGGGGGCTTGCAAACTCGTCGAAGAAAAAGTAAAATTAAAAGTAAAACAGAAAAAAAAAAATAGAAGAGTAAGGGTGATAAAAGAAAAAAAAGAACGAGTAAAATTCGTAGGGGGAGGGGGTGGTAGTAGTAGTAGCTCGCACTCGCCCCTTGTTTAAGAGACACGATAGCGCGAGAGATAAGAGATCGGATTCGACTCGCAGTGAAGGCAGAGATGTAGGAAAAAAAAAAAAGTAATAATAAAAAATAGAGGGTAGCGCTATAGAGACCGATAGAGAGACAGATAGAGAAAGAGCGAGAGAGAGACAGACAGAGCCGACCACCTGGCGAATGAACGTACGACAAGAATTGAGAACGAAAAAAAAAAAAAAAGTTACAAATTCAATAATAAGTAATAAATTTGCTCGTGCGTTTTGACGAAAAAATATGTGAGGAAAAAAAAAAATTGCTTTTCGTTTCTCGTCACCTCGAAAGGCCGTCGTCCGTCCCCTGACCCTACCAAAGTGTGTTTTGCATTGCAGACTACCAGATGCGCAATGTTAACGTGAGATCGGTCAACTCTAAACGAAGGAAAACACCCTCCTCTTCCTGCTTGTGAGTCTCTCAGTTTCGGTGTTTCGTAACTAATTCCACCTATGATTACTACACTGTTCTCTAAACCAGATTATATTATTATTATATATATATTGTTATATTATATTACGTTATTATATATATATATATGATACGTTGTTGTAATGGATCGAAACGTATGACGTTGACCTTTCACCTTGCCTACATACATATATATATATATATATACACACGAACATACATATATATATATATTCTCTTCGTAACGGTACAATTACTTTATACATACATAATACGACCGCGTGTCTCGCATACCTCGACCAATTACCCGTGACCGTTGCGCGTGGTGGAGAGGGTCGACGAGAATTCCTCCTAGATGGCTCCTCGGAGACACGCTCGAAAGATCGCTCGTTTCCTCCTCGTCCCCTCGATCGTTCCTCCGAAACAAGTGAGAAAGATCTTTCAATCACTGAGAGAGAGAGAGAGAGAGAGAGAGAGAGAGAGAGAGAACGGCGCTCTTCTCGTACCGTTCCCGCTCTCCACTCCGTACGTTTCTCGCTCGTTCCTCCTCCTCCCAC